GTGGTTAGATAAAGAGAATTGTTACTAAATTAACTAATGAATATGTGGTTAGATAAAGAGAATTGTTACTAGATTAACTAATGAATATGTGGTTAGATAAAGAGAATTGTTACTGGATTAACTAATAAATATGTGGTTAGATAAAGAGAATTCTTACTGCATTAACTAATGAATATGTGGTTAGATAAAGAGAATTGTTACTAAATTAACTAATGAATATGTGGTTAGATAAAGAGAATTGTTACTAAATTAACTAATGAATATGTGGTTAGATAAAGAGAATTGTTACTAGATTAACCAATGAATATGTGGTTAGATAAAGAGAATTGTTACTGGATTAACTAATGAATATGTGGTTAGATAAAGAGAATTGTTACTGGATTAACTAATGAAGGTGTGGTTAGATAAAGAGAATTTTTACTAGATTAACTGATGAATATGTGGTTAGATAAAGAGAATTCTTACTAGATTAACTAATGAATATGTGGTTAGATACAAAAAATGTTACTAGATTAACTAACAAATATATGGTTAGATAAAGAGAATTGTTACTGGATTAACTAATGAATATGTGGTTAGATAAAGAGAATTCTTACTAGATTAACTAATGAATATGTGGTTAGATAAAGACAATTTTTACTGCATTAACTAATGAATGTGTGGTTAGATAAAGAGAATTGTTACTGGATTAACTAATGAATATATGGTTAGATAACGAGAATTGTCACTGGACTAACTAATGAATATATGGTTAGATAAAGAGAATTGTTACTGCATTAACTAATGATGGTGTGGTTAAATAAAGAGAATTGTTACTGCATTAATTAATGAAGGTGTGGTTAGATAAAGAGAATTATTACTGGATTAACTAATCAGTATTTATTGGATTAAATGTTCCCATGTTTTGTGGATCCAGTTTTAAAAATTACGCCTTAAAGATCGTATTAGTTACAATGATACAATAGCTTTCATTGTGTTAAACAGCAAATATAGGCAATGTTTGAGTAGATGGTTTAATACCTCCTATTGTGTTAATCAGTATATATATAAACAATATTTAAGTGGATGATACAATAGCTCTTATTTGTGTTAAACAATATATATAACCAATATTTCAGTAGATGATACAATAACTCTTATTTGTGTTAATCAGTATATAAACAATATTTCAGTAGATGATACAATACCTCCTATTGTGTTAAACAGCATATGTAAAAATATTTAAGTAGAAGATACAATACCTTCTATTGTGTTAAACAGCATATATAAACAATATTTCAGTAGATGATACAATACCTGCTTTTGTGGTAAGCAGCATATATAAACAATATTTCAGTAGATCATACAATACCTGCTTTTGTGTTAAGCAGTATATATAAACAATATTTCAGTAGATGATACAATACCTGCTTTTGTGTTAAGCAGTATATATAAACAATATTGCAGTAGATGATACAATACCTCCTATTGTGTTAAACAGTATATATAAACAATATTTCAATAGATGATACAATACCTCCTATTGTGTTAAATAGTATATAAACAATATTTCAGTAGATGATACAATACCTCCTATTGTGTTAAGCAGTATACATATATATACACAGTATTTCAGTAGATGATACAATAGCTCTCATTGTTATAAACAATGTTTCAGTAGATGATACTATAACCATTATTGCGCAAAGCAGCATATATGAACAATAGCTTAATAGTTGATACAATAACTCCTATTGTGTTAAGCAGTATATATATAAACAATACTTCAATATAATTTTTTCACAGATCAGCTCAGTTGTATCAAGAATTGTTTATTGATTGTAACAATCTGTCCGTATTATGTCTTATGAAATGTTCCAAAAGTGTTTTAATTTGTTAAACTACTGATAAATCATCTGGTCATCCGCCCAGAAGGAGGATTATGTTAATTCTTCAAACTATTGATAAATCATCTGGTCATCTACCCAGAATGAGGATTGTGTTAATTCTTGAAACTACTGGTAAATCATCTGGTCATTCCCCAGAAGGAGGATTGTGTTAATTCTTGAAACTACTGGTAAATCATCTGGTCATTCCCCAGAAGGAGGATTGTGTTAATTCTTGAAACTACTGGTAAATCCGTTTGTCATCCACCCAGAAGGAGGATTGTGTTAATTCTTGAAACTACTGGTAAATCCGTTTGTCATCCACCCAGAAGGAGGATTGTGTTAATTCTTGAAACTACTGGTAAATCCGTTTGTCATCCACCCAGAAGGAGGATTGGGTTAATTCTTGAAACTACTGGTAAATCATCTGGTTATTCACCCAGAGGGAGGATTGTGTTAATTCTTGAAACTACTAGTAAATCCATTTGTCATCCAACCAGGAGGATGTTAGTGGTAAGAGCAGTTCTTCACCTTTCAAGGGATGCTGCTTCATGGTGGGGGGGGGGGATGGGGGGTGGCGTCGCCAAGTGAATGAAGATCAAAGTATATCGCCTGAGAATTACACAACTATTATGTAATATGCAACTTATGCGTCGACACCAGATGGAGTAGAGATGCCACAGTTCCACGAAGTGGCACCAGAGAGCGAGTGGCTAGGAGAGGGGTGACATTATAGTTCAATAGCAGAGGGAGTGTTGCTAGGAGTCATACATTCCTGAAGTGGCACCAAAGGGCGCGTTGCTAGAGGAGGGGTAGGATGATGAGGTCATCTATCATGAGCGCGCAGATAGATCGCAAGCGAACCACTAGAAGATGATGTCGATCAACAAATAGAAACGTGTCACTAACTTTATAGTTCACACTTCAGTAACAATCAACAAAGTTACTATAGACTGGTGGTCTTACTAAGGTTATTACTGCTAGGGCAGATAGTGTTACTATAGGCGGATAGTGTTACTAAGTTACTATGGACTGGTGGTCTTATTAAGGTCATTGCTGCTAGGGCAGATAGCGTTACCATAGGCGGATAGTGTTACTAAGGTACTGTAGACTGGTGGTCTTATTCTAGAAGCCTGCTTTTTGGTGGAAGTTAAATGTTAACAGAGATTTGATAAAAATAATTAACTAATAAACATTTCTGTTTTTTCTTTTAATTAAATAAATGTTTTAGATTTCATTAAGTTGTTTCCTCTTTAAAAGTTATTGAAATATAGCAGGTTAAAGATGTGTTATGTAAAAGTTTCTGTTACACTTACTATATTAATTTATGTATTATTTGAAGGAGGCAAATATTATTGTAGAATGATCCGTTTTATGTATAAAACACTTCTCAAATATCATAGCACAGCCAATAATTTACCTTACAAATATCATAGCACAGCCAATAATTTACCTTACAAATATCATAGCAGAGCCAATAATTTACCTTACATACCTTACAAATATCATAGCACAGCCAATAATTTACCTTACATGCTTTTACAATCATATGTCACTTTATGTATAAAACACATCCCTAACTCATTAATTCCATGGTTTTAATATATTATTACTAAATCATAATTACTTTTTAGAAGCCCGGCATGGCCAGTTGGTTAGAGCACTCGGATCACAATCTGAGGGTCGCGGGTTCGAATCCCCGTTCCACCAAACATGCTTGCCCTTTCAGCCGTGGGGGCGTTATAATGTGACAGTCAATTCGTTGGTAAAAGAGTAGCCCAAGACTTGGCAATGATTAGCTTCTTTCTCTCTAGTCTTATACTGCTAAATTAGAGACGGCTAGCGCAGGTAACCCTTGTTAGCTTTGCGCGAAATTCAAAACAAGCAAACTTTTTAGAAAACATGTTCATTAAACTTGTACTTATTTTGTGAAAAAAAAATAAATCATTATTTCCTGTTATATGGAAGACATCCAGCTTGTCTGACAACACAGAACACTGACTGATAACTTACAAAATATGGTGGACATTCAGCTTGTCTGACAACACAGAACACTGGCTGATAACTTACAAAATATGGCGGACATTCAGCTTGTCTGACAACACAGAACATTGACTGATAACTTACGAAATATGGCGGACATTCAGCTTGTCTGACAACACAGAACATTGACTGATATATTAGTTATATATTTATAATACCCAGTCATTATATATTTATATTTTTATAATACCCAGTAATTATATATTTATATCTTTATAATACCCAGTAATTATATATTTATATCTTTATAATACCCAGTAATTATATATTTGTATCTTTATAATACCCAGTAATTATATATTTATAATACCCAGTCATTATATATTTATATCTTTATAATACCAGTAATTATATATTTATATCTTTATAATACCCAGTAATTATACATTTATATATTTATAATACCCAGTAATTATATAATTGTATCTTTATAATACCCAGTAATTATACATTTATATCTTTATAATACCAGTAATTATATATTTGTATCTTTATAATACCCAGTAATTATATATTTGTATCTTTATAATACCCAGTAATTATATATTTGTATCTTTATAATACCCATTAATTATATTTGACTATAATGTATATATTTGAATCTTTTTTATTTGTCTATTTTTGTAGTGACGTGTCTTTAGGATGATGTAATAATAAATCCCCTGATAAATTCAGTGTTTATTTTCACACATTGTTACACAAACGAACTACAGTATTTACATGAAAATGGACAAATAGTAATATGGATATAATGTAGAAATACGTGTCAGGTTTGTGATGTTACATTGTTCTTGTATATAGATGCCCTACATGTAATAAACCTTAGTAAGACCACTAGTCTATAGTACCTTAGTAACACGATCTGCCCTAGCAGTAATGACCTCAATAAGACCACCAGTCTATAGTACCTTAGTAACCCTATTCGCCTATAGTAATACTGATTTCCACTGAAGCGGAAGCCAGTCATTCAACAAAATGATAGTTCCTCTGACCCGTGAAACTACTGGTAAATCAGTACATAATCGAGGAAGAAGGATGGTTCCTCTGCCCCGTGAAACTACTGGTAAGTCAGTAAGTAATCCAGGAAGAAGGATGGTTCCACTGACCCGTGAAACTACTGGTAAATCAGTACGTAATCCAGCCAGAAGGATGGTTCCTCTGCCCCGTGAAACTACTGGTAAGTCAGTAAGTAATCCAGGAAGAAGGATGGTTCCTCTGACCCGTGAAACTACTGGTAAATCAGTACGTAATCCAGCCAGAAGGATGGTTCCTCTGACCCGTGAAACTACTGGTAAGTCAGTAAGTAATCCAGGAAGAAGGATGGTTCCTCTGACCCGTGAAACTACTGGTAAATCAGTACGTAATCCCGGAAGAAGGATGGTTCCTCTGACTCGTGAAACTATTGGTAAATCAGAAGGTAATCCAGCCAAAAGGATGGTAAAATAGCAGAAGGTGATCCAGCCAGAAGTATGGTCAGATGGCAGAAGGTAATCCAGCCAGAAGGATGGTAAGATGGCTGTTAGTGCAGTAAGTTTTTGCCACGTTTTAGCATAATGCACGTTTAGAAAATTAATATGAGATTAAATAAAAGGATATTAATAAAGACAACATAATAGCATAATTTCCCGAAAATTGTAAAATTTTTAAAGCAAATTTTCTCAAACGTTTACCACCATTCAAACTTGTACGTAACCTGGTTTAGTACTGAAGGTTTACTATTATAAATAATATTTCAAAACTAACAAATTAGATGTGGTGTATCCATGTGAGTGTATGGATGTATACAACCTAATATGTGTGGATCCAATCACTATCTAATATATATATATAGTGTCGATCCAATGACTAGATATCAAAGAATCTAATGGTATTTCTGAATCTAAAGGACATTTTCAGTCTCTGAACACCAGGTTCAGCTGATTCAGCCTAAAGGACATCTTCAACATTTGGACTTCAGGTTAAAATGACCCACTTGGACTTCGGACAAAATCTGTATACTTGCTCTAAATTAATTTTTTTATTCATACTGTTCATTAGCCCAACTTCCGCTCGTTTTTTATTTTTATTTTCTCTTATTTATTAAATTTAATTAACTATATTCGAGGTGGGTTGGAATAAAAAAAACAGGCCCAATATATTCACCACTTTTGTACAAGATCATTATAAGTCAAGGTCTCCAGGCACGAGCTTAGAACTGAACCCATGGCTACTGGGATACAACTATCTCAATTTTTGTGGCACAGTTTAGTCAATATTCGGACAATGCTTTGAACTTCGTTCCTTACCACACACACTACAGACAAATCACTTGAGACGTCACCTCGTGCTTTGCTCGTAGAAACGAATATTTGAAGGATCCTCTGCAAGCTCTGGATACAGCTCAACATCATGAAAGTAATCTCCACGGTAACCAGGGACTGATCCGGAATTTACAATGTGTTCCTTTTCCTTCTCGGTCCAGCGTTGGGAGCTCTCTTGATTCACGGTTATCATGTCACGTTCTTGTGCCCAACGTTGGCCAACAGCATGTTTCTTGGCATGACGTAACAGTCGACGTCGTTCTTTGCTTGGCGTGGTGCCATACCGGATGTTGATGATTGCATGCTGCGTATGAACACGGATATCTGCATGTGATCCCTCTGTCTTACCGTCGAAGACAGTAGTGTTAATAGAGGTTCCCAAGCGCTGAAGCTGGTTCAAGTCGTCACTAACTCGCCACGTGCTATCCTTGACGAAGTAAAACACGTCCATATTGTGCATGAATAAGTGGAGGTCGAGAAGATACGATCCGTTAAAAACTGAAGTGAAGACATTGCGTCGAATGGGATCCGCTTCTTTAACAGACCTAACGATAGCTTTCCCGTGTATTCTGGAAAGAATTATTCCTCTTCCAAAGGGCACACTCTCCATACTAAACTTAGGTGAAACAGATTCGAACAGCTGTTCGCGCTTAACTTTAGATTTCTCCACACTGGATAAGGTGTCGAAGCTCTCTAGCCGCTTCTTAATGGAACAGATGTAGCCGGACACCAAGGACACTGACGGAAAGTCCAGATTCAATGGGGGAAGATACGACTGGTAGACTGAAGAAAACACCTTGCTGGATCCTAGTCCAAGATGATCGAAGTCGAGTCCTTGATGTTTAACCCAGCCTTTTAAATCTACAAAATAAATTAAATGTTAAATTCGTAAAATAAGAGATCAAACTATCTATTTTAAATGAAAAGAATCCCTACAACAAACCTGCAGTAAATGTGACTAAAACTATTAGCATTATACGATATTGCTCTGCTTATCCTTATTTGATATTTCGTGGTTGAGTGTTCCATATGACACTGAAATATAAGTGAATATTTAACATTATATCATATCTGGTGGGATAAACGTGTTATGTTTGTAGTGTGAAGCATGATGACGTCAAGTGGATATGTAACATTATATCATATCTGGTGGGATAAACGTGTTATGTTTGTAGTGTGAAGCATGATGACGTCAGGTGGATATGTAACATTATATCATATTTGGTGAGATAAACGTGTTATGTTTGTAGTGCGAAGCATGATGACGTCAGGTGGATATGTAACATTATATCATACGTGATAGGATAAACGTGGTATAATGTTACATATCCACCTGACGTCATCATGCTTCACACTACAAACATACCACGTTTATCCCACCAGATATGATATAATGTTACATATCCACCTGACGTCATCATGCTTCACACTACAAACATATCATACATGATGGGATAAACGTGGTATGTTTGTAGTGTGAAGCATGACGACGTCAGGTGGATATGTAACATTATATCATACATAATGGGATAAGCGTGGTATGCTTGTAGTGTGAAGCATGATGACGTCAGGTGGATATGTAACATTATATTATACATGATGGGACAAACGTGGTATGTTTGTAGTGTGAAGCTTGGTGGTGCTACATAAACAATGTTAGTTACCTTTTTTTAATGACCTAACACAATATATTCGTTTAGCTATTGTGTAACTCTTAAGATATATTTCTTTACACATTGCAACACCAGATGTAGCACTGTGTCGTCCACTGTGAGATGTAAGTGATGTATATATTTTGGTTTATGATAATTCTAAACCACAAGATGTAAAGTACAATTGAAGTAGTGGCAAATAACTTACCCAGTTTACTTGGGAGATTTCTTGGAATGTTAACTGGATCATTTTTATTGAATGCGTAAAGATTTAGGCTCAATGGATCCCTGGCTCTTTGAATGACGCCCTTCCAATCTGGAGTAATCCAAATTGCTGCCAGTGGGTCGTAGATACGATCTCCAAAATGAATCAATCCCGTTATAGGATCCCTGATACCACCTTGGAAGTCTATTGGAAGGTAGAAAACTGGGTTGGTGTCAATCAAGACTGATCCGTATGGACTTCTGTGGATTTCCTTGAGGACTTCACCTTTTGAATCATAAACAGCCAGAGGACTTCCCATGTGATCTGTTGCCACGTAAAATTTCTGGTCGTTAAGGGTCACGTACACTGGAGAGTTTCTGTCATCGTATAGGATAGAAATGATTCTTCCGTCGTTGTTGTTGTAGACGTGTGTGGGCAAGTGCACACGCTGCAGGTTCGTATAAAAGAACTGGGTAGTGTTCCCGAAGCTGTCCTTTCGGACTGTTAATCTTCCTTTAGCGTCATAATAGTAGTCTACGTAGAACCTCAGTAACCTATGGATTCTCAGAAGTTGACCTTTAGAGTTGAACGAGAACTGTTCTTCACCTCTCTTGATGATGAAGCCACGGCCATCCACTACATAAGAAGTTTCACCAAAACTAATGATCCTGTCTCCTGCATCGTGAAGAATGTCAATACGAATACGGTTATAACTTATGGTTATTAGGTTACCATTACTGTCATAGGCAAACCTCCAGTCTTCATCACTGTTGACCTCCTGTAACTGACCATCACTGTCGTAAGAGTAATTCAGAATCTTCTGCTTAAACAAATGTTCTGACTGCTTGATAAAATACCTAGCCTGACTCACCAAACCCCTTTCATTATAATGTAAAACCATTTTATATACTTCCTTATTAGCCATTAACAAGGACATATGGCGCACTCTATATAATGCATCTACTTCACGGGAAAACGAAGCTATGCCATCTGAGATGACGGTCTTGTTCCCATTAGCTTGAGAAATCTTGAAACCACCAACCTGTTTAAAAGATCCCGTTATGGTACTGAAGACGAACTCTACTGTTGGTATCTGCAGGTTACCTACTCGGGCAGATATTCGTTTTAACCGAAAATCGTTATCATACTCATAGTAGAAGATAGTACTGTTCAAACTAAAGTTGCAGCTGTAGACGTGTCTGAACTGCAGAAGTAAAGCACCTTCGTAGACGTATTCATTCTTCACTACAACGTAATCCGTGGACCACGTTTCTGATTCAACAAAGCTAGAAGCAGAGTAGTTCTTCTCTATCTTTCCTCCTCCGAAAATCACCGTTGTCAGGAGCGATTGGTTATTATAACGATAGGCTACTCGTCCCTTGTCTCCAGGATAGATGACAAGTACTGGAAGCTGCAAGTCATTGAAATGTACAACAAATTTTCCGTTATTTCCCGGAGGAGTATAAAACAACTTATAAAACCCTATAGAAGTATGGGCAGAGAAGGAATGAAAGCTTTCTTTTGGAGTTATGATCTGTTTTAGGCCTCCACTTTGGTCGTACCGGTAGATGAAAGTCCGGCCACTTGGAAGTATTACTTTTTCAGGCTGAAACGAATTTTTATATTTTCTAATAAATTGGTAATTTCGCAATAGAAAACATATAGAGTAAAACAATATTCAAACATTTAGTGATCAGTAGGACAATAGAAAACAAATACCTTAAAACAATATTTAAACACTTAGTGATCAGTAGGACAATAGTAAACAAATACAGTAAAACAATATTTAAACATTTAGTGGTCAGTAGGACAATAGTAAACAAATACAGTAAAACAATATTTAAACATTTAGTGATCAGTAGGACAATAGAAAACAAATACAGTAAAACAATATTTAAACATTTAGTGATCAGTAGGACAATAGAAAACAAATACCGTAAAACAATATTTAAACACTAAGTGGTCAGTAGGACAATAGAAAACAAATACAGTAAAACAATATTTAAACACTTAGTGGTCAGTAGGACAATAGTAAACAAATACAGTAAAACAATATTCAAACATTTAGTGATCGGTAGGACAATAGAAAAAAATATCTTAAAACAATATTTAAACATTTAGTGATCAGTAGGACAATAGTAAACAAATACAGTAAAACAATATTCAAACATTTAGTGATCGGTAGGAGAGTAGTAAACAAATAGAGTAAAACAATATTTAAACACTTAGTGATCAGTAGGACAATAGAAAACAGATACAGTAAAACAATATTTAAACACTTAGTGATCAGTAGGACAATAGAAAACAGATACAGTAAAACAATATTTAAACACTTAGTGATCAGTAGGACAATAGAAAACAA